CCCCAAAACCCCAAAACCCCAAAACCCCAAAACCCCGAATGATCTGAATATTATTGAAACTCGTTCCTAATATTACTCACGTGGTATTACATCGGACATCGACCAAAATGAATTTCGTCCAAAGATGGTGTAAAAACCTAGTCAACAGGACCAATCGGTTCACATTGTTTCTCACTAGTTAAGAATTAGGGCCATTAAGTATTTTCAGAAATTTTGGAAATCAATATATTTAAAACTATCCAGCTTAACTGTGACAACTTCCTAAAGAGGAGGTTGAGATTAACAGCATCCTAACTCTGCTAAATTTCTGTAAAAGATCATAAGAGCCAGATAAATATGAGGATGGAGCGGAGAAATCCTAGAGAGCAGTATTCGAATTTTTGTGAATTTTACTATATTTTATAACAAACTTTATCAGAATGAATAACTTTTCATCAGAATGACAGAATCTGAAGACACTATTTTAAAATTGCGGTAGTTTTAGGAGATACAAGATTATTCATAATATTATTACACTGGATCATTTTCCTTGCATTTTTGGGTGATATAGTTCAACGCTTTTTGGTATTGTGAACTTCTTGATATAATCTTGACTTCATGATTATAAAATAAGTCAATTCATTTGGATTGAGAATCAGGAAGAGTTCCCTCAAGGATATTAAGGAAGAGGATTCTGAAATACTTATTTCTAAAGCTTCTTTCAAACCTATTTCAATGAAAAACTTATCATGTTGATGCTAATGTCAATCGCATCCTTGTCGTGACTGTTAACTCACTCCAATGTGTCCTTAGTATTTATTCTGAGAATTCTGAACAAGAACCTGGTGAAGTCTTCACTAGGCTCGATGTTAAGGTACTTGTTTAAGAGTTCTCTGCAGGCTTCTAAGATTTCGTGAGAGTGGCATCTACGAAACCTCTTCTTAACCAGACCCTTATTCTGCTGGATGAAGAATTTATGGTAAAATCTTCTGAACATCCTGAGAATAATTTTATAAATCCCTTTGGAGGCTTGCTCATGCATTTTTAGCGGATCCTTGTCTCTCTCTGCGCCAAAACATGATTACAATGAGTTTTGTGATGTTAAATTTAAAGGTAGTATTACCTGAAATAGTATTTTCGCCTTCAAAAGGAGGAATACTTTCAATTTGGTTAGTAAGAGAGTAATTTTCCATGCCCTTGTCTTCGATCTGAGTGCATGTAACAATATCTTTGAGAGTATAACCAAGGGAGGGATTGGATTGAGATAGGTGAAAATTATCTGTTCAGAAGGATCTTTCCTATAAGTCATGATGAACAAATATATTATTTCAAAAATGCTAATAGCTATTTACACAAAGACTTACCTCCTTTGGGGCATCTGGCATAACTTGGATGTCTGCTTCTCCCTCAGAGTGTGTCTTGATAAAATCAAATTTGAACATTTGAATGAAAATTGTAATTATAATCTCAACACTCTTTTATATCATAGGGGTTTTGGGGTTTTGGGGTTTTGGGGTTTTGGGGTTTTGGGG